TTTTTTTTTTTTTTTTTTTCCCCACCATTAACTATTTTTAAACATTGGGTTTGGGAGATTGTCTTTTCTTTTTTATTTCTGTTTTTTTTTTTTTTTTTTTTTTTTTAAACCTATTAAAAAGGAGTTTAAATTTGTGCAATGTCTCATTTGTGCTACAGTTACACAAATATATGGGGTATTTGCATGACAGAGACTAAACATTTTTATACAACCCAGTTTTACACATGGAGTTGTACAAGGGCATTACAGCAGCCGTGTTAGCGAGAAGCGTTAAATTAAAGGTGCTATTAAGCAGCCAACTTAATTCAGTTGCGACTGGTTGGAGGGCGATGGGAAGTGGTGGAAATACAAACTGTGTGAACTGCTCAGTGTATAAAGGGGAAGTCCCTGAGCCATTTGAGCCTATAGCACTATAAATAAATGATGGTTCAGGGTCAGCTGATACACACCTGACTGTCAACTATATCAAAAAAAGGTCTTAAGCCTAATCTTAAAAGTGGAGACTGTGTGTCTCCAAAAGCCTAACTGGGATCTAGTTCCATAGTAGAGGCCTGATAGCTGAAGGCAATGATTCCCATTAAACTTGTAGAAACTCCAGGAACCACAAGTAAGCCAGCAGTCTGAGAGCAAAATATTATGAAGACTTTGATGTGAAACATGATTAAAGGAATAATTATACACTTGTCATGAAACGGTGTAACGAGCTAATCTAAGGACAGATCTCAAGTATAACTTCTGTTCATCATTTCTGACTTCTTACATAGCTTCATTGCCTTTTTCAAGTCACTGTGTGATCTAGCATATGTTATACAGTTTTTCAGTTTTAAAAGGCACCAATTTCATTCTCTGTTTTGGCAAAACAATGGGAAAGTGAGTTTCTTTCTTTGCACTGGCCTTCATTTTCTTTCTCTGACTCGTGGATACCAATAAGCCTTGAACATTATCACTGTTGAGCTGTTTAACTCACTCAGCTCTTCTCCCACTCACAGCTGGGTTCTGTGATAAGAAGACAGGGCATTGTCTTATCAGTAGTTCACAAGGAAGTGTGTGTGCGTGTGTGCACACGAAGTAAAATAGCTTTACAAAATGTTGAGTCATGCATTATCCTCCCCTGGCTCTGCCTGTCCAGCAGAGCTGCAATCTTTCTGCTACTTACAGAGGTGTGAGATTAGTCAAATGGCCTCATCATCACCCAGGATGTCTTGTATGAAAGCCATCAAAGCAGTTGTAACTCCTGCACAGCACTTACTACATTCAGCCAGCTAACGCCCAAACATTTTTGCAACTTCCCTTCTCATTTAACTGAAGTGACTTACTACTTCTGCTCTTTTTATTTTTTTTCTTGTTCATGTGGGATGCAACTGTGTTGCAATGCAGTACTATTTTGTACTGTCAAAGTACTCATCTGCGTGTGTTTTTGTCTCTTTGTTTTTATATAAGTATGTTATGCATATATATGGCTGTTATTGTGTACATTAAATATAATTATAAAGATTTTACATTTGGTATAAAGAGGTTTGACAAATTGTCAACTTACAGTGAGGGGTTCTGGTGAGTTTAATGCTGCATATTCTGAATATTTAACCACTCAGTGAGTGGAGTGGTTTCTCCAAGGGCGAGACTGTAGCTATCCAGAAGGCCTAACTGACTGCTGATCCACATGCTAGACAGCAGACTTTAACACCAGAAATGCCAAATGGATATCTTTTGGAAGAAATCTCTTGATCTGTTTAGTAGGCCCCGAGAGGTTTGAAGTACAAATGATGAGCTCCTTAGACTACAAATGGGCCATTGTCATTAGTCTGTGCTGTCACTGGACACCTCAGTGTCACCTTGCTAGTACTGGGTGAGAGCCCTCTTTTGCCATCAGAATGGACTTAATTCTTTGTAGCATAGATTCAACAAACATTTCTCAGAGATTTTGCTGGATGTGTACGAAGAATGATGGATCCATGCTCTCATGTTGATTGTGCACAACTCTGATCATCTAAATATGAGACTGTTGAAGGAGAATAATGACTATTGTTTAATTTTGGTCAGACATTAGAAAATGTACCTTCAGTTTTCTGTTCTTGGCTGACAGAAGTGGAGCCTGGTGTGGTTTTCTTCTGCTGTAGCCCATCTGCTTCAAGGTTTGACACAGTCAGATGCTCTTCTGCATGCCTCCATGGTTTTAACAGTCATTTGTGTTACTTTGTCTGCATTCTGCCCCCTCCTCTGACTAAAAAGGTGTTTTTGCATTTAGAGAACTGCTGACCACTGGATATTTTCTTTTTCTTCTGTAAACTCTAGAGATGGTTGTTTAGGCAATTACTAGCAATTTCTGAAATATAATGGAAACAAACTACAGTATGCAACATTCAAATTCACTTATCATATTTCGTCTTTGTACTTCAGCAGTTCAGTCTGACCATGTTTACATTAAATTGCTGATTGACTGCTGTATGTGCATTTTAAATTCATAAAATTAAGAATAAATAGTTAATCAGTTTTAATCCAACAATTAACCTTCTTGTACTAGATTGCATGTAGATGATGAACTATCCTAATTTATCTCAGTACACACAAAGAACGGGACAGACAGTCAAGTTATTCTGGCAATGATATGACTGAAAAAGTGTAATTTTTGTTTTGTTTTTTACTTGTATTGAATGAAATATTATTTTTCATAACTTTATATCACTTGTAGATGTGTCCCCATCCCATCTAGACGTGTTCTGTTGAATGGCATTTATCAGGCAAGCATGAAGAAGCCACACATGACACAGTTATGTCAAGGCCTGAAATCTGCAAATCACAACCAATTACTCATCAGCAAGTAGGAGGCAGTGGATCGTTGACAGCAGTAAGCCATTTCAAAACTTCCAGGAAAAGGCGTTTTCCCCAGCTTCTTAATTTGTTTGCATGACATCTGAAGCATTCCTAGGATGATTAAAATCTCACCATATCTAACTCTGGATCATCCAAAGGAGGTGCTGTATTCAGTTCTTTTAGCACATATATAAGTGGAATTTCAGTGGGCTGTGTTTTGTCAGGGTTGAAGTTGGAGGGGAAAGTCTATTTATGGCACACAAACGCGTGCATGCACAAAGCATCTTTGGACAATAATGTGTAATGCAGAGAAAGAGACGGAAGCCTGCAGCACAACAACAAATGCATGGCCTCGTCCTCATTTCCTCATTTCCCTAGGAATCCAGACTTCAGTGGGACTTGTTTGCTCAGTGGTGAGCTGACCTCAGATTTTTGCCTGATGGGCACTTTTTATGCTGACTGACTTTTTTTCTTTTTTTCCCTTTTTCCTATTGTGTTAGATTTCTTCTGCCTGTTCTGAGACCCTTCTGTCAGTACTGGATGGCGAAGGTGCAGAAACACTGGAAAGCTGGCCCTGTCTGGTCTTGCTTGGCATTTTTAGGATGTCTGTTTAGGATTTTTCAGCATTTTAAACATGAGACTTTAATTTTATGAATGAATTTTTAGGGCGTAACCACCATTTATAATTGGTTACTTTATTGTCATCTTGGTGTGTTGTTATTATCCAGCTGTATCAAAATGTGGTGCTGTATCAAAATTCTCTTTGGTGTGCATGTGTTGTATATTTAAAGGATGGGGGGGGTAATAACAGAATAAATTCCCTTGAACCTGGCAGGCTAAGTTTCGCAAGGATCCGACTAAATCTCGGATGAAAGCTTTCTCTTTCAAAGGGGCAGTTGGCTTGTTAACTCCCTGCAGGGTTGGTTGCATTATTTAGGAAAACTGGCATAAAACATTTTGACAGTGAACATCAGCACCGTACACCTACCATGCTCTGAAGATTTGATCATGTGAGACAAGCAACAAGGGAACAGGATTTAATAAAGGTTGTCAACTGCTGAGGGTACACACAGTACAAGCTTTCATAAATTCTGCAGGGCTGCTGTAGACTTGACAGAATTTATATTTTTAAGACTTTCCTTTATGGTCAGTTCGCTGGTTGAGCTTAGATCATCACAGACTTTCCAAAAACATTCACGCTGCCACTTTCCATTTGCAGTGAGATGGGTCATGATTTCTGCAAAGAGGAAAAATGAGCAGGACTAGACATTCACATTACTATAAATGAGTCCAAGTCTTGGTGACTCTCATTTGTTTAAATCATTTAGATCGTGATCAGTATTAATTTCTTTTGTTACAAGGGGTTTGTGGTGCATTTGATCTTTATAATCATTACAGAGACATTCAGTTTGGACCTTCAGACAGGCCTCACTTGACTTATAGATTGAGTGATAGATTTTGGTCACAAGTAGCTTGATTTTGTGATTGCACCCCACCTCTAAAACGACCACACATTTCTAGATATTTGATTTGCACTTTTATACAGTGGATGTGTAAATAAGTACAAAACGCTAATAATTTGTGTCTCTTCAACAGATGGTTTAAACTTCTTGATAAGACTGGTAAACCAGACAAAGACAGAGGAGAGGTGCTTCTGGATATCCAGTTCATGAGAAACAACATGACTGCCAGCATGTTCGACCTTTCTGCTGCTGGCAAATCTCGGTCTCGTCTGGGCAAGTTCAAGGACAAAGTTCGTGGCAAGAAAAAGGAGTCGGATTCTGTGACCAGCGTGGCGCCGTCTTTCAGTCAGGTCCTGACGGACAGCGAGGAGGAGGGCACCGGGGATGGTGAAGCGACGACGGGCAAGGATGGAAAACATAAGAAACACAAGATTAAGTCTTTGTTTTCTCCAAAGTCCAACTTGGAGAAGAGCATGTCTCAGTCTATGTCTGTTCTGCCTGGGAAGAACTCCACGCTCACCGGCAGCCAATCATCTGGTCTGAATGTCGATTCCTCAGAGGGTCAGGAATGTACTTTTTCACCATTAATGCTTTCCTCTTTCATTATGTTGTGTTAACGCTCTCATCTTCTTTTCAGGTAAAAAGAAGTTCAAGTTCATGATACATAAACGCTCGGGCAGCTCAGGCAGCAAGGATTCATCATCTGGTCGTGAAAAACAGGTTTCTGTAGAACAGAGTAATTTATGCATCAATGGCAGTCACGTATACTGTGAGGAGCTGCCATCTCGGACTTCTCGCATCAGCTCAAACTTCAGTCTGGCCAGTTCAGGTCATGGATCAATGGAGGATGTCCCTGAAAACTCTCCACCACCTGAGCAACAAAAGGCAGCGAGGCAGTGTTCACCTTGGGAAGAGGATGAGAAGGAGGAGGAAGACACTCCTGAAGTTGAAAACGTTAAAGCGAATGTGAGTGATTTAGAAAGGACTATAATAGAGGAGGAGACGAAAGAAGAGAAAGTTAAGAGGCAACAAGAGAGGCTTGAAAGTTTAGCTGAGGACAGAGAAAAACAAGAGGAAGAGGAGACGAGGAGTAAAGAAGAGGAAAATATTAGAAGTGAGGAAGAAAAGAGAAGACAAGAGCAAGAGGAAAGGGTTAGGATGGAAGAAGAGCGTGAAAGATTGGCAGAGGAAAAGAGACTACAAGTCCTAGAGAGAAGGAAAATAGAGGAGGAAGAAAAGAAGAAAAGAGACGAAGAGGAAAGGATTAGAATTGAGGCAGAGAAGAAGAGGTTAGAAGAAGAGGAGAGGGTTAAGATGGAAGAGAGAAGGCAAGAAGAGCAAAAACTGGCAGAGGAAAAGAGACTTGAGGAAGAGAAGAGGGCACAAGAAGAGAGGAGAAGGCTAGAAGAGGCAAAAATAGCTGAGGAAAAGAGACTGAAAGAAGTAGAGAGAAGGAAACTTGAGGAAAGAAGAAAGCAAAGAGATGAAGAGGAAAGGATTAGAATTGAGGAAGAGAAGAAGAGACTAGAAGAGGAGGAGAGGGTTAAGATGGAGGAAAAGAGAAGGCAAGAAGAGCAAAAACTGGCAGAGGAAAAGAGACTTGAGGAAGAGAAGAGGGCACAAGAAGAGAGGAGAAGGCTAGAAGAGGAAAAAATAGCTGAGGAAGAAGAGAGGATTAGAAAGGAAAATGAGGAGGAAGAGAGGAGACAAAAAGAGGAGGAGGAGCTGCTGAAAAAACTGGAAGAAGAGCAAAAGAAAAAAAGGATACAGTTGGAGCAGGAAAGGAAGCAAAGGGAGGAAGAAGAGAGGGTTAGGAAAGAGGAAGAGAAGAAAAGGCAAGAAGTGGAGGAACGGGCTAAGAAAGAAAGGGAAGAACATGAGAGATTAGAGGAGGAGAGGAAACGGATTGAGGCAGAGGAGAAAATTAGACGACAAGAAAGGATCAGGATGGAAAAAGAGGAAAAAAGGAGACTAGAAGAACAAGAAAATCAAAGAGCTGAAGAGGAAAGACTTAGGAAAGAGGAGGAGAAGAGACGGGAGGATGAGGAGAGGGCTAGGAAGCAAAGAGAAGAATATGAAAGACTGTTAGAGGAAAAAATGCAACAAGAAGAACAAAGAAGACTTGAGGAAGAGGAAAGAATTAGAAGGGAAGAAGAGGAAAGGGTTAGGATGGAGGAAGAGATGAAGAGGAGAAAAGAGGAAGAAGAGAGGACTAGAAAGGAAAAGGAAGAAATGGAGAGGCTGGAGGAAGAGAGAAGACTGCAGGAACAAGAAAAGTGGAGGATTGAGGAAGAGGAGAGGATTAGGAGAGAGAAGAAGGAAGAGGAGGCAAGGAAGCTGGAGAAGTTGAGGAATGCAGAAGAGCAAGAGAAGAGGGGAAACAAAACAACAGATGAAGTTAGGGCTGCAGGGAAGAAACCCAAAGTGAGCAGTCCTGCAGTCACTTCCACTAATCCTTTTGATGAAACCTTCTCTTCCAACCCCTTTGAGGAGATTCCCAAGTCCCTCGACAGCAGCACAGCTGAAGAGCCAACGGTTCAGCAACGGTTAGTTAAAGCTATACTCTACGTCAATCACAAGCACTGCAGTAAAAGTGTGATTTAATAGCCTTACCTTGAAATACTTGAATTCATTCATACATATATACATACAACCTCCTTAGCTCTCGAGAACCTCTGACTTTACAGAAGGAGTTTATTTACAGTGCATTTAAACAATTTTGTTAATGTAATTTTAAAACGACCAGACAACAGCTCAAGGTGGATGGAATTTTAAGGTTCTCAGTCTTTGTTTAGCATTTTCTCCATAGCACTCAGTACCAAGTACAATTGTGGATAAAGACAATGGAATTTTTTTTTTTGTTTGTTTGTTTTCTGGTCACGAATGTAAACAGTTGGCAAATCAAACCTGATTTTAGCGATTCAGGTCACTCTTTCCAATTCATTTATTTATTTATTTTTTTCCTTTTCAAAGTGGTGCATTAAAGTCCTTCCAAAGCTGTTGTAAAGCAAATTAGAACCACAGGTTTCAGGCAAGGCTGGAGGAAATGTCAAAGGAAAACTGAAATCTTTGTAGTGTCCTCCGGGAATATTAACACTTCGACAAAAAAAGTTTGTGCAAATTAATTCAGACGTTAAACTGCTTTTCCTTTTAAGAGAAACTGCCCTGTGCTTGTAACGCTTAAAAGGCTTGGTGATCACCCCAAGGTAGTCACATTGAACCTCTGTAGACCTTTCCTCAACTAAAGTGTTAGACCGCCTGACATTGTTAAGCATTACATAATGTGCACGGTTGACCAGGCTTAAAAGCAGAACAGGACAGCATCAGGAGCAGAAGAGAAAAGGAGGTAGTGGAGCTGAATTATAATGGTTGATTAAAAACAACACAACGATGATGTACATGCAGGGAATGTGTTATCTGAAGTTACCTTTTGTGCTTTTGCTCCGTCACAGGTCAGCAGCAGTTCTTCTCAGTACTTCTCTATTTAATAGAATAGAATTCAACTTTATTGTCATTGCACATGTCACAGGTACAGGGCAACGAAATGCAGTTTGCATCCATCCAGAAGTGCTTTAGCCATGATATAGCTATATTACAATATATATTAGCAATAATATGTAAGTATATTACAGAATGGGTCTATTACGGTATGTAATATGTTATGAATATGCTATAACTAAGTATGTACAGGCTATGAACAGGATATAAATATGAAAAAAACCTACACAGAATATGAAATAAATAACTTTACAGAAATATGAGATATACAGCTATACAGAAATGGGAACTATGCAAGTTGTAAACAGTTGTAGAATTAAAAGTTATCGTATGATTATTTACACAGAACTATACAGTAGTGCAGTTAAGAGGCTATATAAAGTGCTAGTGGTTGTGAGTGGTGGTTCAGTCCATGTTATTATTGTGTGTTTGAGGGTACAGTTGTGTGTGTGTGTGTGTAGGTGGTTGTGGGTGTGTAGGTGGTTGTGGGTGTGTAGGTGGTTGTGGGTGTGTGTATGTCCAGTCCATGTCTTAACATGGGTCAGATGTCAGGAGGCAGAGTAATGGGAACATAAGTGACACATGTGACTGTTGCACAGCTATGTGTGCGTTACAGTTTATATAATTTTGCAGACTGGGCTGAAAGATTGAGCTCACTGCATAGTTTTACCTCATTATGTGAAGTGAAAAATACTAGAAACCTTGTGAAGAAGTCAGTTTGATAGAAGAAGTAGATGGAAAGAAACTTCAGATGTGCTCAGCACATTAAAATACATTTCCTTTTATAATAGTATCTCAATATCTTATGTTACCTTTTCACTTTCTTTTGGTTGTCCTATAACATTGCAAGAGAATTTGGGACAAGGTATCTTTAATATTGTGAAAAATAAAGTCCTATTATATCAATCTATATTACTTGCATCATTAGTGTGTTTAGCCCCCCCCCCCCACGCCTACCAACCCTCAGTTGAATTCCTGTAATTAAATGCTGACGTATGCCCAAATGTTATATAGTCTGTCTCATTTCCAGGTGTCACTCTGCCGTGTCATCGGTGAGAAGTAAGACCGGTTCTGTGGATGAAAAGGACCTGATTAGTACTCAACGGGAGAAGCGAGCAGCTCCTCAGCCGCCAGTAAGGAGTCAAGCTGGCAAGCAGCCTCACAGGGAGCAGGATGTGCCGGCACGACATCTGGCACAAATTAACAAGCAAAGCAAAGACAAAGATGTCAAAACTGTCAGTGTTCCCCCACAGCGCTCGGTGCAAATGATCGCTCCGCTGTGTAGGTCTCCCACAGATTCAAAGAACTCCCAGAGCCTGATGCAAAGCAATAACGCTAATGGAACAACAAACGAAGCCAAACACAGCAAACGTCCTGCACCGTCCGTACCTCCTCCTGTGGGAGAAAAGCAGTCATCAGAACCAAAAACGAGCTCTAATCTAGGCGGCGCAGAGACCAAACAAGTTAAAGTTGTTTGTGGCTTAAATCCTTTTGAGGATGATGAAGATGAAAGTGAGCTCACAGATCAAGATGACACAGCAGTCTCTAGTAATACTGGTTCAATACACTGGCCTGCAGCTGTGTCACAAAGTGCAGATAAAGATACTGCCTCTCAACCAAAAATCAAATCCTCAAAGACGGCCCACGCTCCCCCACCTCCTGCAAAGAATGACATCAGCTCGAACACTTTAACGAACCCGGGCACGGAAAGAAGCCATGCTACAGGTGATCGAAGTGCAGCTGCGCCCGATAACGATGCACTCCAAGCATGCGACCCGTATTATGAGTCCAAAAGTCCTGGGCATGTCCCAGTGAGTCCACTCCAAGAGTCCCAGTCCCTTAAAGTCCAGAATATAGTGGAGACAGATGTGAAGAAAGACTGGGCCCCTACACCTTCACGCAGGTGAGATGGTTTGGTTGCTAAAGAATAACTTTTATAGGTCAAATGTTACTATATTTATATTTTTATCTGTACGCACGTTTCATTTGTGTAATTTGCAACATTCAATCTTATTAGCTTTCACTTACACAAATGTTTAATGTATTCTGTACAGTATAGTAAGCTTGATATGGGTGAACTGAGTTTTATTATTGGGTATTATGTTCAGTTTAATTGTTGAATGGATTACTGCGCAGTGTACTTGGTTATACGGTTTCCTTTACTCCCATTCAACAGGTGCTTACGTCTGTCTTTTATGCTTTGTTTTCATCATTTCAGGCTTCAGCCGGTAAGACCTCTTAATCCTCTTGAGCAGCAGGGTGCCTCAGTTGTTCAAGAGGAAAATGAAAACAAATCCACAGGAATCCCCAGTGGACTTCAGGACAAAACACACTGATTTCTCTCTCTCTCTCTCTCTCTCTCTCTCTCTCTCTCTCTCTCTCTCTCTCTCTCTCTCTCTCTCTCTCTCTCTCTTTCTCTCTCTTCTCTCTCTCCTCTCTCTCTCCCCCCCCCCACCCCACCCTTTTTTTTTTTTTTTTTAAGATTTTCAACAAGAAGTAGGCCGATGGAATTTAAGTTTCTTATATCCTGGCACTTTTAAAGCATGCTTTGTCGCTCCACAGGAGGATGACAGTGGGATGAAAGGGCCTTACTCCCAGCTGACCCGGGAGGAACTGATCTCTCTGATCTTGAAACAGGAGAACCAGCTCTCGGAGAGAGATTATAAGATATCGGAGCTGGAGCAGTACATTGATAATTTACTTGTGCGAGTCATAGAAGAGAAGCCAAGTATCCTCATGTCCTTGACCGCTATGAAGAAAGCTGCTTAGGTAGCTTTGCAGGCATCACTGTATTCTTGCTGCACTTAATCAGACCTGTTTATTCACAGCTCGTCCACATTGGAAATATCACTTTATAGATGTATTGGTTACGTTAATGCAACTGGAATACTTTTGCTGTAAAGTGTGGAGGAACACTTTAGATTTCAAATATTTCATCACCCAATAAAATTAATGATTTGAGGGAAAGAAAATCTTTGAAATATTTAGCTCTCTCAGCTAAAGGATTCAGTTTGGAAAGACTTTGTAGTTTTTAGATGATCGATAAATTTAGACATTTGTTTCATGTGAGTTTAAAGGATATCTTGTATATATCTGGTCATGCCTGTCATCTTTCTTCTGGAAATAACTTTGATAAATGTGTAATCCTGCCAGCATACCAGACTTGTTGCATTTCATGGCGAAACTCGAGTTGATTTCTCTCTGTAGAGCTTACTGTCAAAGTTTACTGCTAATTCCCATGTGCACTTTAAGTAGCTCACACTATTAACTGTTAAGACACTGAACACTGTACTGAGTATTTTTACTGCTTAAATAAATTTGAAAAATAAAATAAAACCATGAATTAATACAAACACTGTCTGCTACTTTATTTAGTTTCTGATCAGATTATAGCGCGTTTTAAAGATTAGTTTTCCTTTCCTGAAGAAACAGTTGTTCTTGTTTTTTAAATCTTAATTTATATCCTGGAATATTTTTCTGTAGGCTTCATTTCATCTAATGTCTGTACGCAGTACTGAAATTTAAGTGTACATGGTCTTCTTCATCATCTTAAAATTAATCTTGACATTGATTTGCTAAAGCTTGTTTAAAACATTTGCTTTTGGTGATGTCAAAGGAGAATGGCCAGACTGCTTTAAGCTGATAGGAAGCCAACAGGAAGTCAGATAACCACTCATTATAACCAAGGTGTGCAGAAGAGCATCTCTGAATGAACAGCATATTAAAGCTTAAAGCAGATGGGCTACTGCAGCAGACGACCACACCGGGGGCCATTCCTGTCAGATGTAAACAGGAATCTGACCTCAGTCCAACAGAGCACCTTTGTGATGTGGTGGAATGTGAGACCTGCATCGTTAATGTGTAGCCAACAAATCTGCATCAACTGTGTGATGCTGTCAGGTCAATATGGACCAGAATCTGTGAGGAACGTTTCCAGCATGTTGCTGAATGTGTGTCATTATGAATTAAAGCATTTCTCAAGACAAAAGGGGCCCAGCCCGGTACCAACACGGTGTACCTGTACGCGAATCACATGGTTAGGTCACCTAGCAGTATTTATAAAACTGAGGATTACTCTGATTTAACATTTGATCTCCTTTTGGAAAAATAAAAACCATAATCATATGAAAATTTCTAGTAATGCAGAGGCTAAGGTTGAAAATTGTGTTTAATCATATCGTCAACATGACCCTAAGATTGCTTAGTCTAAAGTTTGTCTGAAGACAGTCTGCTTGGATATCCTTTTATGCTGTACAAAACGTGATGTTCTTGGATATTTCTTCAAGAACTGATCATGAACAGATGGAGTAATTTGAGATAAACAATCCGGTAATATGAGTACTAATGGGAAACTTGCCTTGGCTGTGATGAGTTCTCAAGGTCTCAAACTGTGAAGTTCTGTGTACCACAGGGTGGAAATCAGCCTCTAATCAGCCTCTATTCAGCAAGTCTTCCAGCAGCCACAACATATTCAGTTGATCTGCATGTGCAAAGGGCATTGCTCAACAAGATTATGACCAATAAAACTGTAATCACTGAGGCATTTGAGAAAATCACTCTATTTTAAGCTGTTAAATACTCTGACTGCACCCCCCCCCCAGTGTTTCTTAATTCTTCCTTTCAAATATTTTTGTTGCACTGGGAAGTGCTTAGTAGTTTCAGACTGTAAGAAGACTTCATTTTAATATTAACATTAATCATGAATGACTGTTCGGTTTTTGTAAGTGCAAAATTTGTTACTGACAGTGTGGGACACTCTTTGCCCAGCCTTCATGATGCAGAGAGACAAACGTTGTCCTAAAAAAGGTCCCTGACCTCCGTTGCTTCTACCTTCTCAGAATTTATAGTTTAATAATTCAACAGTAACTTCTCAAAGATGGGTTAAAATGTTAGAGCTACTAATCCACGTCAAAGGGTTGGGGTGGTTCGAGCATCTTACAAAGGTGCCTCCTGGGTGTTCCAGGCATGCGTGACTGAGAAGAGACCCCAGGGTAGACTCGGGACGTGCTGGAGAGATTATATCTCTTGGCTGGCCTGGGAATGCCTCAGTGTTCCACCAGATAATTTGGAGAATATAGCTGGGGAGGGAGAGGTCTGGGGCTCTCTGTTTAGGCTGCTGCTCCTACGATGGATGGATAGATGGGTGAATGAATGGGTGGGTGGGTTAGTAAATGAGTGAGTGGGTCCACAGTTTCAATCTACACAGAAAATGGCGTCCCTCCCACGGCTTACATGGACCATCAGTCATATATCTTACCAAATTCCCTCAAAATGGGAAAAATGACTCCTAATAGCAAAAGGTTATCAAAACTCCTGATCAGTAGTCTGTGCGCAAGTGTCTATATTATTCTCTCCCAACTATCCCTGTAACTCTCTCAAAACCTTCCATAATTACATAAATGTGAAAGGAGTCCAGCCAACATTTGTGTCAGTATTTCTTCTTTCTTCAGTATCTACCTTTTTCTGTCTCTTTCATGTTGGGAATCTTAGATTGTTTTTCTTCTATACTGCCTTGAGTTAAACCAGGACATTGTTGGTGTTGGGTTTCCATATTAACACAGTGTCCGAGTGAGTAGACAATTTTAGGTGAAGGAGTCACTGAGTTTTGCAACCTGTAAGATTATTTCTGGGAATTATTTGCTTACCTCATTGCCCTGCAGCCTTGCTGGCTCTGGTTCCAGTCTTAGAGTACCAAGCCTGTTTTAGTCCATTTCCCTGCTCTGGACACCTGCATGACTCCATTATACCTGCCCCCAGTCTTTACAGCCCCTACAGTGTGCTTGATTGTTTAGGACTCCTGCATGCTTCTGATACTGCTTCACTTGTTCTCTCATTCAGGAAATTCAGCAATCGGCAGTGTCTTTGAGTTTTTGTGTGCGTGTAACACATTGTGATATCCTTTTCTACCTTCCCTTTCTAAGTAGCTGACAGTGATTTCTCTTATTTGCATTATATAGTGGTGACCAGCTGTTATCCTAGTGTAGATTTGTGTAGTGTGGCACTTTGCATTTGTTAGCATTTTACAGACTGGGAAGACCGCACATTTTAAACAGATGCATTTGTCAAATGAGCTTTTACACTCTCAGAGGAAACATTATGTGCATTATCTGCTGTAGATATGTTTTTTTTCTTTTTTTGGTCTTCTTTCTCATGTGTTGCACAACTATGCTTATTGTTTTCCCAGTATGGGTCAACAAGCTTAGTTGCATCACTTTTTTATTCAGATTAGAGTTGGACTGATTCCTGAAATAATTTCAAGGAGGGCTGGTCTCTTTAGGTTTACTATAGAAAGGTTACCTCCCTACTTTATGTAGAGTTCTAGTCTGGTCTTAATTTTTTCTTTATTGTAGCACAAATGTATTGACCTCAGTGTCTTTCGCTGGCCCTATTTGCCTTTCAAATGCACATATTTTGCACTGCATGGATGGATCTAACTGAGATATTATGATATGTTGGCTCTTGAAGAAAAGAGTGAAACAGGGATTTTTCTTTTGAACTACTTTTATAACCACTGGTAATTTTTGGTATTGTTTTTTTTGTTCCTGTCTTTTTGTGTTCATTCCAGCCTGTAATGGCATCCTCTGTTGTTCATCTTGTGTGAGTCTTCATTTTGATTGTGATGACGTCTGTGATGACGCATTTGGCCTCCTGATTCTTTTGTGAGTCTTCTTCGTGAATACTCACACTACTTGAAGTCCACTTTTTCATGGCTTTTTGGGGTTGCTTTTCTTCTCCATCACTCTTTTTGTTCTTTGATGCCTGTTCTTTCACTGGAACTTCTCTCTGCACTGACATTTTCTGTTATTTATTTTAGTATTGTACAGCACTTTGGTCTACCAGGTGTGTTTTTAAAGTGCTATATAAATAAATAAATGATGATGATGATGATGATGATGATGATATTTATTACTGCTCCATTCTCCATGTTGCCCTCAAGTCATTCCGATTTCATGCTGTGAGTCGTGCTTGGGTAAGTAGTTTATCCTGCTGTGATGAGTAGCCTAAATGCCCTCTCTAACATTTCTTTCTTCCTCAGTCTTTTTAGTCTTGCAACATCATCAGAATCCCTTACTCATTTCATGACTTTCCTTTTCATTTATTACTCAACTCTCTCACACCATTTTGAATTTCTGGTCCATGCTGAGGAATGAGGTTTACAGAGCTACCAGGCCTACAGAGGACACCATAACCACAACACTCCTTACTGTTGTCCTGAGCTACACGAGGCTGCTCTTTGTAGATTTCAACCTCCCTCACAAACTGGTGACAAAACTGACAGAGTGTCCAGTCACTTCTGGTCTGACTTTCTGTCTCTTTGACTCCCAAAAGGTGAGAGTAGGCTGCTACAAGTTCTCAGCCCTCAGTCTCAGCACCGGCTCTTCACAGGGATGTGTGCTGAGTCCCTACTCTTCATCCTCTATACTCACAACTGCACCCCCACCCATTCCAGCAACAACCTCATTAAATTTCCAGATGACACCACTTTAATGGGGCTCATCTAAGGGAGTGATGAGTCTGCTTATTAGGTGGAGGTGGAGTATTTATCTGGTTGTCGTAGTGATAACAACCTGATCATTAACACCACCAAGACCAAGGTGTTGATTATTGACTACAAGAGGTAGAAAATGGATATTCAGACCATTTTCATTTCATGTGTGGAGAAATTATTGGACTGATTCCTGGGCATCCAAGCAGAAGAGGAGCTGACCTGGAAGAAGGCAAAGCAGAGACTTTGCCTCACTCAAAAATCTGCTTATGTCCTTCTATCACTGCTCAGAGAAGTAGAGAGTGGTTTCCCAGCTGCACAGTAGAAGAGAGAAAAGTGCTTTCAGAGGGTGATCACAGAAGATCACCTCTCTCCTCCCTGGAAGAGCTTTACAGTTCCCGGTACCTCATAGAAGGAAAGAGCATCCTGAAACATCCATCCCACCTCGGACACTTTCTGTTTGAACTGCTGCCCTCGAGCAGATGTTTCAGGACATTAAAAACAAGGACAAAAAGATTTAAAAATAGCTTTTATGCAAAAGCTTTAACAGCAAAAAATGCTGCTGGAACTTTGCAATTTTGTGAAGACAGAGAGCTATGCAAGCTGAATGCCTGGAGAATGCAAAATGTCTTGTGTGATGTGTGAAGTATGATGCGTGTTTTATCTTCCTTTTAAGTTGAGTAGAGAGGTAGCAAGTATAGAGGTTGCTCATTTATAAACTTTTTATACATATATTTATGGACACATTCTAAGCCTTTTTTGCCTTTGCACTGATAGAATTGCATCTGATGATACTATCAGATGTACATGTAAAAGTACATGTGTACTTAAATTAAATCTATTACTGTCATCATCATCATCATTATTATTATTATTATTATTATTATTATTATTATTATTATTATCATGACCTTGATTAAAAAGGGTTATTTTCAAAATTCAGATTCCTGATGATAATCTCTGTTTGTACTCTTAACACTCTTTGTTATTCTGATCAAAGCTTTCATTCAGCTGGCCACCCTTTGGACATGTGCCTTGTTCTTAGAGACCAAATGTCTACATCTTACATCAGACCTTAAAGAAGATGGCAGGGGAAGCTAGGCTCTTATCAAGATAAATATTTTTTTTTCTGGTAAACAAATTTTGCAATACAAAAGATGAACAAATGTATGAAGCTACAGTTTGAAATTCAACACAAACAATCCTGAAACATATATGTATGCATACCGAAAAACAGGTAGTCACAATTCCCGTTCCACAGAAATTCGTGCCCCTCATGACGCCATTTAATTATTTTAAATGTCTTGGGAGCTGACATTCAGTCAAATTTAATTTCAAAAATCGAGAAAAAAGATTAAATCATACAAAGAAAACGTTACCTACATATAAGAATGTTATCAAGCTGATTCGGGGATACTGAAATAGCTGAAGAAATCCCTGCAGTTAAGCTTAACTGAAAGTTTATGTCTGTTTGGCTACAGTGACTTACACCCACTGCTTGAGTGGTTTATAGACAGAGGCCACGATGCACCCCTAAGATGGTCTGTTAGTAACAGCATTTAATTTAATTTAATTTTTTTTCTTTTTAAAGACTGTATATAGGTAAGTTGTAAACGTGATGTTATATTTTCGTATTAGGCTGTGTGGCGATGCATTTTAATGAGCACTTATCCAAAATTTCCGGGGTCGTAAAACCCGTTGTTTGTGTTTCAACCATCATTGGTTTCAACAGTGTTTCTGTTATGAATAACTCACCCCCGAGGGTCGGCCTTGTGATGTTTTTTTAATCGCTTACATAAATGACGAATTGGGCGAGCGGAACCTTGTAGAATCCGAACCTTGTTTCTATCCGGACACATATTATTGGGCTCCTTTCTCGCGACCGGTCGCTTAAGCGACGTTCATTGGTTGTTGACAGTTCCAGGTTAGGAACAGGATGTTGTGTGTGTGTGTTGCAGGTGTTCCTATCAGTTTAGTACCCGTTTCATACCTTTAGCTGTCCCTCAGGCGGCAGCAGCTTCACTAAGGTAATGTCTGCTGCTGGTATGCGCTGTCCGACCTGCGGTTCCACAAACATTGTAGACGATGACCTGTACTCTCAGGCTCAGCTGGTGTGTGTGGACTGCGGCTCTGTGGTGTCCGAGGGAGTCCTGGCTAATGATCCAGTGGGAGGTTCAGGTACGAAAATGAGACTGAAGTCAAGTCTGTCCCGTTAAAAGACCGTGTTAAATATGAGTAGTTTTTTTTGTTTTTGTTTGTTTCTTTTCATAATTTTGTTTGCTGAGCTCACCGAGACAAAGTACTGATAGTAAGCGGGACCTGTATGTGCTCCCTAGTGGAGAAATTATGTAATGACGAGGCTTAATTTCCTCACAGTTAGAGATTTCTTAGATATAGATTCAATAAGGTTCTGGAAACATTCATCATAGATTTTTGGTCTATATTGATGTGAAAGCATCATACAGTTGCTGCAGATTTATCATCTGTACTTCATAATGATCATCTCAAATGTTCAAAGGTGCTCTACCGGACTGAGATCTGTGAGTACAGTGAACTCATTTTCAAACCAGTGTTACACTGTGGTTATAAAGGGACGGGACATGGTCAGCAGCAATACTCAGGTAGACTGTGGTGTTTAAATGATGCTAAGCTTGTACTAGTGTGCAAAGAAAACATGCCCCCACACCACCATCTCAGTGAATTTTAGCCTGTTACCTGTTCCAGAGTTTCCAAAGATGCTCATCTGCATATCTTGAAGTTGAGGTTCTGTTTCCTTCCTATCAGTTTGAAGCAGCCTGGTCTTTCTCCTGTGACCACTGGGGTCAAACAGGGCATTTTCGACCGCTGCTGCTCTGTTGTTCACTGGTATTTTCTGTCTTTCAGAAAATTTTCTGTAAAACCCTAGACATGGTTGTGTGGGAAAATCCCAGGAGATCAGACATTTCTGAAATCCTTTAAATCACATTTCTTACTCATTCTCATGACTTCAGCAGGTCATTTGACCATGTCTGCATGCCTAAATGCATTGAGGGGCTACCATGTGATTGGTTGAATTGATAATGATGTTTATGAGCAGTTGGACATGTATGGCTAAAAAAAGTGTCAGGTAAGTGTAGATACATAATTTGAAATTTCTTAGCATTAGTCAGGCCGGTTTAATAAATTTGTTCTACTGGGGAGGTTATGTAAAAGGTTATGTAATGTCAATAAATGTAGATTTTTTTTTTTTTTTTGCTGCTGACATTGACTACTAACTTCAGTACAGGGCAATGACTAGAAGGGCACTTGAAGATTGTAAAGCATGTAAAGTAAGTCCATATGAATGAAATTTATGACCCTCTACTGCTGAAGGAATGGTAGATCTCTCTCTTTACATTTAATCACTTTTGGACTTTGCCTTGATTATTTTCCCCTCTTGCAGATGTCAGCTTCAGTCGAACCACTGCTGTTGCCAAAAGGCCGTGCACAAACCTGATAAAAGGTGAGCTCTTGCCCTCCAAAAGAAGCTTTTCCTTGTTACTTCAGTGTAATTCAGTCCTGTTGCTTGTGCATTTCCTCAAATGGATTTGTTTTACACCTACAGGTCAGCAGCGTGTGAAAGCCATATGTCGGATTCTCATGGTCAACAGGGAGATTGAGGATCTCTCACAGACATATTACAAGATGGCCTATGAGCATAAAGCTTTCCTCAAAGTGAGCCTTCAGAAGAAAGAGATTCTTACTGGTTGCTGTGTGCTTCTAAGCTGCAGGCAGCTCAATTGGCCCATTACTGTGGGAACCATCAGCTGCCTGCTGGATGCCGACTCGATGGCGGTGGGAGCGATTTATCAAGAAATGGTCAAGAACCTCAGCATCGAGGCCCCGATCATCAACGTCACTGATGTAATAGAAGCTCACTGTCATGAGTAAGTGAAGAACTTACTGCAGCTTTCAGTCCTAAAATGCTAAGTAGGTATTTCAAAACAACTAATTTATTGCAGTTGTAGAAGAGCAACAGTTGTAGGTCTTCTAACTGAGACCTACAGTGGTGATGTAATTATTTGATTCCCTGATGAATTTGTTAGTTTGCTCACTTCCAAAGAAATTAACCATCTTTACTTTTTAAAGGAGACAGAATATGAACCAAAAATCCTGAAAAACACATTACATAAAAGGTAGAAAATGATTTGCAGGTCATTGAGTGAAATGAGCATTTGATCCCAGAGCAAAACAGGACTTCATAGCTTTGTTGACAAGAACAGCAGGAAGACATTTCTTGTAGTTAGTGTTTTAGTTCACTCCTCTTTACAGAAACTTTTAAGTTTCTTGGCTGCTGCCTGTTAGCTCGAAGCCTCAGCTCCCTCCACAGATTTATCTGTAGGACTGAGGTCTGGAGACTGGCAAGGCCACTCCATGACTTTAGTGTGCTTTACCTTTAGCCACTTCTTCGTTGCCTTGGCAATAAGTTGCCATATTTAAAGTTTTGGCCAAGGGAAGGAGATTCTGAGATTTCGTGGTGCATGGCCCTGTCCATTGGCCCCTCGATGTGTCGTCCTGTAACCCTTAGCAGGAAAAACTGACCCAAAGCTTAATGTTTCCACCTCCGTGCTTGACTGTGGGGATGGTGTTCTTTGGGTCATACTCAGCATTTCTGTTCCAAATACGGCATGTTGAGTCGTTTTTTGTGCAGTCATACCGATAATTTAGTGGTAAGTTATCCTTAGTTATAGAATATGTAGTTATTTGCTTTTATTTTAAAAACATTTTTGGCTTACATAGTTTTTTTTACTACTTTAGTTCACTTAAAAAGCTGATTTTGTTTTTCCACTTGTTTAACATTCATTTCTCTCTTGGCCTGCCCTGGTTTTAAAGGAGTTTCTTGTTTCAGCGTTAAACCTCGATTAAATTTTAAAACCCATTTCATTGGAGTTACTTGAGGTTAACTGTGTTTATCTGAAAAGCTGATTGTTAAAATATAAAACTGTCAGTGCTCTAGATGATTTACCAGCTCAGTCTTTATCTCAGATTTACTGGGAGCATTTCTCTTTGACAGATACAAAATTAGCTCACTTGATGTTCCTGAAGAATTGGCTGAGAATTCGAGGGACCTGACCAAACGAGCTGTGGCCCTGGTAGAGCTGGCAGCAGATTCCTGGATTGTGACTGGCCGTAAGCCCATCCCCATAATGATGGCAGCGACGTATTTGGCCTGGCAATCCTTAAAACCCAACAAGCATCGCCTGAAATTCTCCCTGGACAAGTTCTGTCAGGTTGCCAAAGTGAAAAAGCTCAAGTCTGCTATGAAGAGAGTAGCTGAAATCAAAGAGGTGTTGTGTAAGCTAGGCAAGGAAATACCCTGGGTCAGGGAAACAGTGACACCGGATAATGTTATTCAGCTGGTTGAATGCATTCTGCAGAACAGGTACGCCCTGCTAAGAAGGGCTATGAGAACCCACGAGGACGCTCTGTTGGAGGAGAGTCAAGCCAGCTGTGCTGAGGCTCCACCTGAGGGGACTGCTTCCTCCCAAATCTCTGAGTGTGCAGATCAGACTCCAATTACGTCTTTTGTGAAACAAAATGGGTCGAATTCTGACGGGAAAGAGAAGCCAGGAGATGTAGACTATAATCCACGTGTACTGCCAGAGCACAGCGACACTCGGGAGAGTCAAAATCCACCTCCAAACTGGGGTAAAAGAGTTCTGTTTGCTCCTCCATGTGTCATTAATGCTAAGAAAAGGAGAGCGGTGCAGCCTGAACACACGGATGTGACTGGTGATGAGGAAATCTCTGACAGTGAAATTGACTCATACATTCGCACACCTCAGGAGGCTCGAGACTTCGCTTTAATGCAGCAGATGCTGTCTTTGTCTGACAGTGCTAAATCATAACCGAGCCCAGTGACTGGTTCTTCAGAGATGGCTGGCATATTTAAGTTTATGTGCACTTTCTTTTTTTTTTTTTATGACTGTTGAACTCAGGATGCAGACATTTTCGTTGGCTTGATTATATAACCTATTCATCTAATTTTGTACAGTCTACATAAGGGGCTATGTCTTTTGTGTTTGTACTTTAAAAAGCTTCACTCAGCACTTGAAAGTGTAGCATGAGGAAGTTAATGTGTGTAAATATTTTGTTTTAATGGAAATGTGATTAAAGCAAAGGCCTGATTAAAAGGATGCACCAACTTCACCGTGTACATTTTATGATTTTTGGATGGCTTTTCTGTTTGTTCTTTTATATTAGAGCTCTTATCAGTGAAATAACACATGGCTATAAATAGAGCAATTACTGCTGAGTCCACAGCAAACAAACATAAAGAAAGTAATAAACAAATGTAAGTGAAATCTAAGGATGTGTTTGAGTAGAGCTCTGGTAATTAGTCAAATATACACTCACCAGCTATTTCTTTACTTACACCTTGCTAGTACTGGATTGATCCACTCAAATGTCAGATTTATTAAAGCAGAGCTCAACGGTTTTGTGTAAGAGGAAAATGTTTGAAATACTTTTTATTGGAACTTGTTTGTACATTCTTCTATCTTTGATAGCAGTTTCCATTTCAAAGGTCCTATTTGGGTTAATCCATGAGGGGATTACCTGCAGGTGAACTTCCCAAAACAATCGGCTTTGTTGCTATATTGAGAGAAAGTTCAAAAGTATAGAAGTAGCAGACATGCATTTGCATTCTCAACCTCTGTTGGATTTCATTAAGTATTTACTTCCTCTTCAACATTTGTAGTGATGAAGATAGACCTCTAATGGTGCTTTTGCACAGGACACTGCATCCTCTTTACTTGCTGCTTTATTTGGTGCATTGTTTAAGGACGCTGTAAATAACAAAGCAAAATAGTCAGGTTTTAAAACTAATACTGGTATTTTTTGTTCTGTATGAAAACTGTCTATTCCTCATTGCCCTAATTAGAAGCTTTAGAACAGCAACTGGCCACTTCATTAGTTACACGTTGCTGGCACCCAGGTGAACCTTTTGCCTTCAGAACCTCCCTAATGCTTTGTGGCATAGATTCAACAAGATGCTGGAAACATTTCTCAAATTTTGGAGGCTATTTAAAAGCTTATCGTCATGTTCAAGAAGACTGTGGTCCTAAAGGGCTAGACATGGTCAGCAACAACACTGAGGTGGGTTGTGGAGTTTAAATGATGCTCAATTGATATTAAGGGATCCCCACACCATTACAGCACCACCAAAAGGTTGAAGCATGGTAGAGGCATGTTTTTTATGATGAGAGATCAGATGAGGTAGCACATTTTTCCAGTCTTGTCATGTCCTGTTTGAATTGTAGCCTCGGTTTTCTGACCTTAGCTGTCAGGAGTGGCACCGGTGTGGTCTTCTGCTGTTGTAGTACATCTGTTTCAAGATGCTCTTCTGCATATGTTGGTTGTAACAAGTTCTTCCTATAAACTTACCATTCATGTTTATTAAGTTGAATTGGTTTAACTGTCCACCTCTGACTTCTGGTGTCAACCGAGAGAACTGCCACTCACTGGGTATTTTCTCTTTTTCCGACCAATAGTCTCTAAACCCCAGAGATGGCAGTGTGTGAAAATCCCAGTAGGTCAGTAGTTTCTGATATACTCTGAAATAGCAGCACTAGTATTAATGCTACATTTAAAGTCACTTAAGTCGCCTCACTTCTTCATTCCGATGCCCAGTTTAAAGTTTAAAGAGCAGCTGAACATGCATTGGGTTTAAGGTCTGAGTATGACTCTGGTAGTTCCTAACATGTGATCCAGTTTAATAAGATCAAATTTCTCACACTAATGGACACCATTTGATAGAGCTTTCTTCTGCATGTTATGTATGAAATGCCTCATATATCAGATGGACATGGAAAGAAACTCGCCCGAACATCAAAACCATAAATTTCAATTAATTTTTTTCCCCTGACAGACCATTTTTGTGACAACATCACAAATTCTACCTGAGATATGAGACCTGTGGAGTATAGTAAGCCCTTTTTGCTGAAGTCATGTTGACATATTGAAGTACATTCAGGTTGTGTGTGTCCTGTCTCTTTGTTGTATGAACTACAAGGATTTCCTTAATACAATAAAGGGACGCTTTAAGGTTACCACTAATATGAGCATTTCCAACTATGAGGAATCTGCTGTGGAAAAAGCCTGTTGTCCTGAGGCTACATTGTGTTGAGTAAACGTCCAATTTTCGTTTCACTTCAGTGAAAAAGTTTGTTGAAACAGGAAATATCTGTTTGAAAATTATTGTTATTGAACACAATGCGTCTTAAAACTCAAAATTCCCACAATACATAATAAAAGATTCACATAAGTGGCAAACCTGAGAACTTAAAAATCAAACCCACAAAATAAGTGCCCAAAACTGGGGTTCCTCTTGTAGTGTGACTTCAAAACTCAGTCAGTCCTCATAGATGTATAAAGAAATAATCCAGCTTTACAGCTTAAAAAACTGGTGTTGAAGTGGGACAGAGTGATCTGGAATGACGTTCTGGCATTTTCTGCTAATTATGACTTAAATCTGATTGTGTGGTTAAATACATAATAATACAAAGCACCATTATGTTTCCTGTGCTGCAGCCTGGCAGTCTTTTCAGCTGATCGCACTGAGGTACTTGCTCAAATTAAAAAGTGGCATCCCACGGTCCTGCTTGCACCCTCTGCGCATCCTGTTTTCCTTCTTATCCCCTTCATGCTTTCATGCACACAGATGTCACAGCTGATGTGGAAATTCTGTATTATAGCCATCTAACAAGTCCTGAAAAATGGGAGCGCGATAAAAGAAATGTGTATTTTCCATCGAGAGAAAGCCTAATGTGTGATAATATAAAGAACTGATGTTAGAGGACAGGAGAGGAAGATGAGAGTTAATTTATGTTGTGAAAACACTTGGAAAAACAAATTGAATTATAATCAACTTGTGTTATTCCAAGTATGAAAATTTTAAGCTGTTTAGTGAATGCTAAACAGCTTACTTGGCAGTGAGCACTGAGATGGATTGGTAGAGCTAGTGGTAGGGTGCAGACAACCAAGTAAAAAAGGTAAAAGAGCATGTATAGAATTTCTTTTACTTATGTATTAATCACATTATTTTATTGTATGATGCCTTGGTGCCACTGGATTTTAACATGTCTGACACCCATACTGTAAGACAAATGGTGGGGGTGTAGTAAGGAAGTTGGGGGGAAGCAGACCACTCCACAGGAAGAGTCTTTTGTCTCTTCGAGGACTCTGGGAGGTAGCAAGGGAGTGTGAACCTTAAGGTGTGAAATAGCTGTGTACTGCCTTTTGTTCCTGGAGAAGGTATTTAACTGAGAGCCATGCTAGGCTCAGAGAGACTCTGCCGACCCTGCCCTGCGGTCATGCTCTCCACAAGCTTGGTTTTCTGTTCTTTGTGTGTTTGGATTAAAGAATGTTAGCTACCGCTCACTGCTCGTCTGCAGGCTTCATTTAAATGGAAAACTTCCACAACAACAAGCATAAATGTGGCTTTTCTTTAAAGGAAAACAATCAAAGAAGAGTTTGCTGTTGTCTGTTGATGACAGGCACCTTTAAGTGAAATTCATTATAGATTATTTTTTATTATTAATGATTGATCAATTTCAGCAACCGTAGCGGTTATCAATTTAAATTTATGCTGGTCATGCTTTTTATTTTCACTCGTAAAATGCTATCTTTTATATTAATTTTGTACTTGGTGAGAATGCTGCCATGATAGCTCGTGTAATATTCTTAAATGTTGTTGAATAAATTGTCTAAATCCAACCCCC